ATCGATTCTGTGACTGGAGCATTGGGAATAAGTGCATTTGAGATGGCTAGGTTGGCACAGGATAGAATAGCATTTAGAGCTCTTGTACATAGGGTCACTGTAAGTCGCAAGCGACTCAATGGCAAATAACAAAAACAACAACAACAACAACAAGTTTACAGATACTTTAAAAAGGAAATAAAAATCTTCCTGCTCAATGAATTACTTTGTAAATTAATAGTACTGAGAAATTTATTTAGAATTACTTGAAAGAAATAGACTACAATTACCCAATATACATAAGTTCCTGAGTTACAATTAGAATATAAAGTGGATTGACTAAATTCAGTATCTTGGATAGTTGACTCATTCACAAGAAAAGCTAGCATTCTTTCTTTTTGTAGCCTGAATTTAAAAATAACAAGAAAGTCTCCAAAATTTTAATGTTAAACTTCTTCATCTGACAGATCTATAAGAAGAGAGTTTTGGTGCTAAAAAAATACGGTTTTCAGTATTACGGGGAAAAGAACTTGATAATGATTTTGACAAAGAAAGATTTATTTTAAATAGAGTCAGAAATTTTGCTGCTAAAGAGAAATAGAGACAAATTATTTTCGAAAACAATGAAGCTAACAGCTCAGGTTATAAGTAAAAGGTAATAAAATAAAGAGTCAAGAAGAAGAAGATGATTAACAATCATGACATTCATCATATCAATCTAGGGTGAAAAGTGATCTATGAAATAATGTTGGGGATTTTATTTTCATAATGTTTATATGAAAAACAATGAAAGTCTAATGTTGAATAATCAATGTATGTGGAATTGATATAATCTATTTACAATGTGTAAAGCAATGCCTTTTTTTGGTTGCAGGAGGAATTCACCGATGACCCATCCCTTGGCTTTGTTGATGCAGGGATCATCTTTGTTATCCATTCACCAAAGAAGGTGCCACAGTTTGATGGTTTAGGTCTTTCTTCACCTGTGGGAACACACTCATGGGTGACTATCAGCCAAGTGAAGGTAAATATTCACAAGCCGTAGATTCTGAGAGAATTTTGGTGATGTGTGACCTTTGCTTGCCTGTTTTAGCCAACAAAGACCGAAGGGCAGAGGGAATGAGCATTTATTAAGTGTATCTTTAAAATTCCATAGGGCCTGAGGGAAATTTATGAATTAGTTAATTTATTAATGTTAACATTAACATTCTTTAAGTAGTACAGCAGTTTGTCTATTTGCTGTACTGAATGACTTGGAGTTTCTGTGATGCTGGACACTGTGCCTTAGTTGTGTCAAATATAATGGTTACACATTTTGGACAATGTTTGGAGGAGCTTCCCGATTGATTAAGGTTTGGAAGCAGGAGTGGCATCCACTTCTTAAACCAGATAGATACCTCTGGAAACTATATAAACTCCATATACTCTATCAACATGAAGAAATAATGTTAAATATAGAACAGCGTCAGGTCTTTTGTTCTTAGGGTCTCTATGAGTCATATTCGACCTGAGGCCACTTAACCATGGCTAAGTGAGACTGGTGTTATTATATTTTATTTTGGAGGAACATTCTTCTACTTTGTACATCACACTTTGCCACTTTGCTATACTGAGGTAATCTGGGTTTGCTGTGACGCTGAACCTTGTGCTATTGGGGTGTCAAATACCATAACGGTTTCCCAATGTGGACAGTGGTAGTTGGAGCTCTCAGTTGTAAAACAGGTTTGGAAGCAGGAGTGGTATCCTCTTCCTAAAACCAGATGCCTCTGGAAACTCTACGAACTTGGAGAAACGATGATAGTTCTAGAAAGTCACTAGGTCTTTTGTTCATGGAGTCACTATGAGTCGTGCTTGACTTGATGGCAATCAACAACAACATGTTGCTGTGAGGCATAGAGGAGCATCCAGACTAAGATAGACTAGAAAGAAAGCCCTTGCAATCTCCTTCTAAAAATCAGGTAGTGAAAACACTAAGGATCATAGTGATATAATCTCTTTGTGCATCAGGCTCACTGTGAGTTAGGGACTAGCAATGACAAAGCAAATTTAGAACACCACTGGAGATTCTAAATTTCAGGTTATTTTCTTTTACCTAAATACACTCTGATTAGAAGATTGATTTCACATATGCAATATAGTCGAAATCCAAGAAGCCTACCAAGTCTATGGACATTTTAAATTTCAGTAGAAATTACAACTGTCATTATATAGAGGAGAACTGTGGGTTGTCTCAGTTGTATTTCCTGGGATAGAGAAAAATAAAATTTAAAAAAGTAGGGACTGTGGAATCACACTGGTCTAACAGGTCCTTTTGCCAGCCAATGTCCTTAAATTGCTTCCTGAATTTCTACCATCTTTCATCCATATTGTTGCTGTTAGGTAAATTAGAATGGTAGCCACCCTATGAACCTTGCCCTAACCTGCACCATCATCAAGATCTTCACGACTAAGACTATTGTTGCAGTCATTGTGTCTATCTATTTTGTTGAATGTCTGCCTCTCCTCCTGTAAGGTTCTACTTCTCCAAGCATGGTATCTTTTTTTCAAGAACTGGCTACTCTTGACAACATGTCCCAAATATGTAAGACAATGTTTCTCTACCCTTTCCTCTAAAAAGCATCCTGGTAGCACTTCCTACCAAGACAGATTTATTTGTTCACTGACTGTACATAGAATGTTCCATTTATTTCAATAATACAATAGTCCAAAGGCATTTGTTCTTTGGTTTTCCTTTTTCATTGTCCAACTTTAAGAAGCAGAAAGAATTGAAAACCATGGTTTGGGTCAGAAGCACCTTGGGCCTTAAACTGATGGTTTTGGTTTTTAGCACTTTATTTTTTTATATTTTTTCCCTTTTAATTTCTTTTTAAAAAATATTTGTATTGATTTTCATATAACAAGTATGTTTCATTTATATTCATTATTTTATATAATCTTTCATTAAATTGTGTTTCATACAATCATTTATATGTGTTCTATTTTATATTTTTTAAATACTAGTTTATTTACAAAATTCAAATACATTGTTTTCCACACCACATTCTTCCCATTTCCCTCACCCCCCAATCAAACTGTGTGACCCTGTGATTAATCTTCCCAGTCTTACTCATCCTCTGCTTCCACCCTCCTCCCCGCTTTGGATCCTCACACTCATTCTACAATAACTGTTTTATACAGTACTTGTCCTTGTGGGACCAAGTTAGTTCACTCAGCATAATGCTCTCCAGTCTTTTGTATGTTAGTTAGTAATTTACAAAATCATTGCTCCTGTGTGCTGCATAGTATTCTATTGTGTTCCATAATTTCTCAATGCATTTGATTGTGGTTGGGCATTTGGCTGTTTCCATATTCTTGCAGTGGTGAATAATGCTACTATGAATATTGGTGTATAAGTCTCCATTTGTGCCTCAGTTTATATTTTCTTAGAGTATATTCCAAGCAGTGGCATAGCTGGGTCATATGTAATTTCTATGTTCAGCTTTTTGAATAAGTACCAAACTACCTTCCAAAGTGGTGATACCATTGTACAATCCTACCAACAATGTAGAAGAGTTCTCATCACTATCCTCTCCAACATTTATTACTTGCTTTCCTGTAAAACTTTGCCACTGCTACTGAAGTGAGATGATAGCTCATCATGGTTTTGATTTGCTAAGCATTTTTTCTCCATGTGTTCTAATATCTTCCTTTGTGAAAATTCCATATTTTTTGCCCATTTTGTAATTGGGTTATCAGTCTTTTTCTTGTAAGGCCTAGTAGTATTCTGTAAATTTTCCTTATGAGACTCTTATCTGAGATGGTATTGCCAAATATTTATTCCTAGTTGGTAGGTTTTCTTTTCACCCTGTTGGGAAAAGTTTTTGATGCACACAAGGATTTAATCTTTAGAAAGTCAGGGGTGGGGGTGGGGGGAGGGTCGGGTGTTGGTGAGCTCAGCAGGAGGGTTCCCAGTGGCTGCAGGAGGCCTAGGCTGCGGGTGACACCTGGGTGGCTCCTGCCGCTGCCCCGCCTGCTGCAAGAGGGCAATCTTGGGAGCCGGGTTTGTCTCTTCACTGGACTATGAGCTGCTTGGAAGAAGGATTCGCGTCTTACTCATCTTTATATTCCCAGGTCTGGCACAACTCTTGGTACATAGTTTAAGCAGACTTTTGGGACATGGCCACTGCTTCACCAAGGTCTGATACTAGTAATAACCACAGTGGAAGGTTACAGTTACAGATAATTGTTTCTAGTGCCAAACTAAAAAGGAAAAAGAACTGGTTTGGAATAGCAATATATACAGAAGTAGCTGTAGATGGAGAAATTAAGAAAACAGCAAAATCTAGCAGTTCTTCAAATCCAAAATGGGACGAATGGCTAACTATAAATGTAACCCCACAGACTACCATGGAATTCCGAGTGTGGAGTCACCATACTTTAAAAGTAGATGCTATGTTTGGAAGAGCAACTGTGGATTTGAAACAAGCTCTCTTAGTACACATAGAAAGCTGGAAAGAGTAAAAGAACAATTAAAACTATCCTTGGAAAACAAGAATGGTATTGTGCAGACTGGAGAATTAACAGTTGTGCTTGACGGATTGGTGGTTGAACCAGAAAACCTAACCAACAGCAGAAATACAGCAAAATGGTGATGCCTTACATGAAAATTAAGAGTCTTCAGCAAGGACAACTACCAGGTCGGCTGTTGAAGGTACTAATGGAATAGATGATCATGTACCTGCTGAAACTCTAGCCCAGAATTCCTGCTGTTCATAGGTAGTTAATGGAGAAGACACACCTTTATCTCCATCTCAGGTTGCTGCCAGACTCCAAAACACACAAGCTCCAAAGCCACTTGCATCTGAGCCTGCCAATGGCAGTGTTAATGGAGAATCATCCTCATCTGCACCAATGTATGATCAATGCACCGTGAGGACTGCAATAGTGTCTGAAGAAACCACTATGTCTTCAGATTGCACTAGTACTACTGTTGAAGACCCGTTAGTTCAAGAAATACCAACTTCCTCAGAAAATAATGAATGTATATTCCTTCTACAAGTGCAGCATTGGAATCTGAAGCTAGAAGTACCTTAGACCCTGTGACCTCTACTTCTGGAAGTGGAAATGGTTCTGCTTTTGAAGCAGTCTGATGGCTCTGAGGAACCTTTACAGCAACAGTCTGGAAACACCAACACAGAAAGTCTACCCTCAGGGTGGGAGCAGAGAAAAGATCCTCATGGTAGAACCTATTATGTGGATCATAACACCCGAACGGCCACGTGGGAGCCACCACAGCCTTTACCTCCAGGTTGGGAGAGGAGAGTTGATGATCCTGAAAGAGTTTATTATACGTATCATAACACTAGAACAACATCATGGCAGCGGCCGACCATGGAGTCTGTCTGTAACTTTGAACAGCGGCAGTTGCAGTGGAAACAATTGCAGGGAGCTATGCAACAGTTCAACCAACAATACCTCTATTCGGTTTCTATGTTAGCTGCGGAAAATGAACCATATGGGCCTTTGTCACGAGGTTGGGGGGAAAAGGGTAGATTCAACGGACAGGGTTTACTTTGTGGATCATAATACAAAAACAACCCAGTGGGAAGACCCAAGAACTCAAGGCCCACAGAATGAAGAACCCCTGCCAGAAGGCTGGGAAATCAGATACACAAGAGAAGGTGTTCGATACTTTGTCGATCATAATACGAGAACAACAGCCTTTAAAGACCCTCAGAATGGGAAGTCATCTGTGACTAAAGGTGGTCCACAAATTGCATATGAATGCAGCTTTAGGTGGAAACTTGTTCATTTCCATTATTTGTGCCAGTAAGGGCCGAACTCATTCAGCATTTCTTAAGCTCAAGGAGCTGAAGAACAAATTCAAACCTCGAGTTGCTACAATCAAGGATGCTTTGGGCAGAATGTTAAATGATCCAGGAGGTATCAAAAGAAGATGGAAGGAATATACAGAGTCATTGTATAGAAAGGAATTGGCAGATACAGAAGAATTTAATGAAATAATATTTGAGCAAGAGCCTATGG